AGACGATGTATGAAACTGCTAATGACCTAATAGTTGAGGTAGTTCTATATAATTTACCCAAATTTGTATTTTAGCACATATATCCTATTATTGGTAAAGTTGTTGAGAATGAATCTTATATTAATTGGATCCATATTAATGGGAGAAAGGTTTTTTTATTAACACCTCACAATTTTATGAATACATCCTATTTTTTTGAATTCTTATTGAACTACCTCTTTTACCCTTATTTAAATTTGAAAAAGAAAAAAAAGAAAAAAATAGCCAAACAAACCCAGCACCCACAAGTGCACCACGTACTCTCTAGCCAAACAACATGCACCATCATTAACGAATTTCATTAATCTCAATAATTCAATTGTTACAAGAAGATGGTCTTGATAACTTTATTTACCCAAACATATGCCGACCTTATATTATAGAAACACCTTCCATATGTTTTCGTGCCCATAGCCATCAAGTAGACATCCTTGAGTATGGCGTCTGAAATTGCAGTTTCTACAAACTGCTAAAGGCCTCGCAGAACGACTGGGAGGGAATGAGGAAGGGGAGGGGAAGATGAGGGAATGGAGTGCTTAGCATGGATCGAAGAAGTGGCGGAGGGTGAGCAAGATGTCAGTTAGGTGAAATGTTATTGTTGTTTTGAACAGGTGGGGTGGCTTCAGCAGAAGTAGAGTTAAAATTGGAATTTAAAAGACTAATTTTAAGTGTGAGGTGGATTTATAAGATTGTGGGGTGTTAATAAAACAACTCATGGGAGAAAGGACTTTACAAGAGCTTATAAGAGGCTGGGCTACTTCTCATATTGCCAGGTAGTTTTATGATGGAACCTCAACTTTCTTCATGGTATTAGAGCAAGTTATCCTACGTGTGAAGCCAAGCGGCCACATGTGCTTCACGTGACCTGTTGTGTTGTTCACGTATTAGGGTCGAAACTTCGCCACACGTGAGGGGGCGTGTTAATTCGCCACACATGTGAAGGCGTGTGGAGAATGAGTCTCACGTTAATGGGAGGATGGACCTTGCATGAGATTATAAGAGGTTGGGCTACTACCTATATTGCTAATTGGTTTTATGATAGAACATCAACTTTCTTCAACAGTAACACGTGGTATACCACCACTGTGCTAGTCACACTAAAAAATCTCTCATTTTTTGCCCTTTTTTTAGCTGTTAGATTTGGAGGCTTTGATCTAACGGCTCATAATAAACTTGAAAATAACCGAATAAATTCTTCACATCCGCAACCATGCAAACCCATATTCCAGATAGGCTTTAGCAGATGAGGCGCGCCAAAACCTATATGCAAGTCGCAACTTCTAGCTCCAGCCTGCCATGGCATTCCCTCTATCCTCCGCCATCGTCTCTCACAAGCTATCTCTCAATGTTTCCATTGCTCCTTCCACTCGAAGGCTGAATTTAAAGCCAACCCATTTCATATTTTGCTTCAATCGGAAAATCCCAGAAAGATCAGGCCGCTCCAGAGTTCGTTGCATGTCCAATGACAATCATCCAAAGGTTGGCCTTGATCCTACTCGTATACTTGGTTTCTTGAAATACTGGTTTTCAGGTTTTCGAAAGCTCTAAAATTGTTGTGAAATTGTGATTTTTTATGTGATCTGTGAAGCCTACATTGTTGGAATGATTGTAGTAATGTAGTGTTTTGCTGTAGTTTTGATATGATTCTGGTAGTTTTTGATTGTCATTGGTTTGAATTTGAGTTTTGCGGCGGGTGATATATGAAATAGTTGATGAGGAAGTCTACATTTGTACTTCTTTGGTATTAAATTGTTCTGTTCTTCTCCTTGTTGGATCAAATTTCAAGAGTCCGGATTTTTTGACTTGGTGGATTTGATGGAAGGGATCCGAAGAGGATCATTTTCCGTATCTGGGAGCCTCGTGCTGTGACTTCAGTCCAAGGATCTCGGAGGAACTAGGAAACAAGGCTGAAATATGGCCTTCGAGTCCGACGAGTTCCATATTACAAAAATTTTAAAAATAAATAAAGAAATAAAGGCCTAATTACTTTTTGGAAATTCTGATTACGCTCGAATGTTATCTTTGAACAACCAATATTTTAGTAGATAAATGGCATTAGTATGTTAGACAGTTAGTTATAAGGGGTAGTGGCGAAGCCAGAAATTGTTGAGGGAAGAGGCGAAATATAAAAAGATAAAATTTTTAGAATAATGTAAACAAACCATATTTTTTTAATAGTAGACAATATTAATGTCGTTCGTAGTTTATTAATACAAACAAGTCATGATTGTTGTCGTCAATGTTTCATCACTTTTATGTTATGAAAACGTAGTGTACAATTCTCATTGTCAATAAAAATACAAAACATCTCTATCAATATAAATAACCATGCTATAATTCAATTATTAATCTCTCATTTCGATAATACAGTGGTGTTTGACAATTCATCACGAAAAACATAAAAAATAACTTAGTCAAACGCTACTATTTGTGATACAAATCCAAAGAAAATAAAAAAGAAATTTGATGGGTGTGAGTGCTAGATGAAGAAACCTAGCGGCTAATTTGTTTGATGTACTACATGGCAGTCAAGTGTCAAACATGCAATCTCTCTTTACTTGTTTTTTAATGAGTTAATGCAAAACGCTCAATGTATTAATTGGTACATTCACTCCCCCTTGTTTCACACATCTTCATAGTCTGTCCATCTTTTCTAATGGGTAATGACTTCCATCACCTTTGAATTCACCTTTCAAAACCTTTCCTCAAAATCCATGGTGATGACACAATTAAACGGCGAGCCATGGAATTAGAATCATATGTGCCCCCATTTCCTAATCAAGATCCGTAAAACCGGTGTCTCCTCTAAAGACATCACCATCTCAGAGTGCCCCAAATCTCGGCTCGCCTTTACCTCCCATATATCCATCAAAACAAAGCCTAAAAGCTCCCCATCATGGTTTACTTTCATGGTGGAGCGTTCTGTGTGTTGTCTGCCTTTGGACTCTTTACCCACTGTTGTCTCAATCTTAGGTCTGCCTTTGAAAAGAAACACACCGTTTCATTTAATTTTATTTCCGAAGCCCAAAACGATGTCATTTTCTGCCTGGGTATATACATGAAAAAAAATAAAACCCTGCGCGCAGGAGAGCTGCGCAGCAGAACAGAGAACGAAAAGAGACACTGTCTTTTCCAGTTTCCGGCCGAAGGAAAGGGGCTTAAGACTCGTTCCTGGGATTGTTTTCTGGCGAGCGGATATGTCCCTTCGCCAGTGATAAGGGGGAGGGGAGTGTAAGAATCGAACTTGCACCAGGTGTACAAAAAAAAATTGTGTTCAGCCATTATGGTGAAACTTGGTGCTTGAAACTTGGAATCGAGGATAACTCAAAAAATAGGTATGTCAAGGAACGATGTATTAAACCCTCAAAACTTGTAGATGATCTATTCGCGCATTTAGCTTCAATATTGGCATCTAAAGTTATACACCCACATGTGAGATTGCTTCCCAAGAAAACAGTAATACTCATAAACACTTATGCTAGAAGTGCTTTTATAATGCACAAATTGAAAATTTAATCATCTATATAAAGTGAAAGATACAGTGGCCATCTTTGATGATTGCCCTATTCTAATGGTTTGGTTTCAATAATGGTATTGGTCAAAATTGAATTAAACTGAACCGTTGAAACTAGATGGTTTGATCATATTTTTGTGTCAAGCCAAACCAACTTATCCGCATCCACCAGCAACACCACATGTCAAAAGTGAAGAAACATTGAAGAAAGAGATTACGTACCGACATGAATTCGATCAAAGAGGAATGAACCTTTTTATTTTCCGGGAAAATGAAATGACTCGGAAAGCGCAGAGAGAGAGAGAGAGAGAGAGACGTTGGGCCAGAAATGGGCCTAAATCGCATTGTGAAATCTGGGAAAGAATACGAGGCTTTAACGGTTTTTGTTTCGGGTTGAACGACGTTATTTTGCTGACGGGAACGGAAAGATGATTCGTATCGCCGTTAAGTCGGCGTCAGCCCTGACGTGGTTTGTGTGTTTGGAATAAAATTGAGATTCCAATAAAAAAATAGAAAATTGCACAATCACTATACTATATTAAATCCATGAATAAAATCGAACCAACTTATTCAAGTTTTAGTACTGATGTATTACTACGCTTAATTTTTCTTAGAACTCAGCTAAAACGCATAATTATCATCAATTTATCACTTGTCAATTAGATGAATAGTACACTTTTTTAATAAATGACGAAAATTTGGTATAAAGATTTGATTGACCAAAATTCTTTGGCACGTATTTTGTACTTCCAGGAAGACAAGTCATAGTAAAAGAAGTCATTTAGTGGTTATCATTCCACATTGGGAAACCAATTCCTACATCAAAAAATAGTCAAGTTAGCATATGGAAGCTAACGCAACTTTTCGAAAGTCCAATTATCATTTAGATGCTAGAGACAACACAACTTGAGCAACGAGCCCCTTGCATTTCCATTTCTTTGTTGATTGCTTATTCTCGATGCATTAAATAAAAGAGAGTTTTAACAAAAAATCTACGGTACTGTTTATTTTAACGAAAAACCATATTTTTACATTAAAAAGTCAAACTTGGTACTATTCACTTTACCTTTTATTTTGTCCTTATTGTTAAAATTCATAGTTTTGAAACCATTTTCATTAGTTTTCCTTAAATAAAATGCATTACTAGCTCGTAAGTTAAAATTTGCTAAAATAAATTAAAAGATTCGGTTTAAGTGGCCTGGTTAAAATCTTGCAGGGAGAAAACTGAATGGGAAAAACTCCAAACTTAGGAGAAAGAGTAGCACATTTATAAAGTTATAATACAAATCAGTTTAAAAGGGACCAAGCAAACATAGCAATCGTTTACCCCAAAAAAAATTGCAAATATTGTGGATTACTTTACTTTACAAGAATAAACATGATTACTAATAATAATAATATTAATATTAAAACATTCCTCAAGAAAATGATACCCGGACCATCAGCTTCATATCTCGTTAACACCCATCTCTATGCAAGGGATGTGGGATATTTTGTGCCAGTAGCGTCCTTTTCCTGGTTGGCATCTCTCTTTTAGCACTGGACACCTAATGATGCGAAGTTCCTCTAGTGAAGGAGGCAGACCCTCCTCTGGAATGGATGCTAGCTTTGGACAACTGAAGAGCCCCAGAGATTGAAGGGAGGTGAGGAATTGAAAGCCCTTGCTGCTCAGTTTCTTCAGATTCGGGAAGCCAACTATTCTGAGTCGAGTGAGAGATTTGGGGAAGAGCGTCTCCATGCGGACCATGTCGGGTGGAAACGACACCGTATCCGGGTCTTCTTCACCATCCATTATAAGAGAGGTGAGTCTGTGCAACCCCCACAATTCCAACTCCCACAATGACTTATAGCTCTTTACCTTCCTAATATCAAGTGATGTTAGGTTGGGAGGAAAAGTCAAACCTTCACGGTAGTCGATGCTCAAATGTCTCAGGTTGGAAGGTCTTCTCCCCCCACTCAGTCTCGGGATGGAAACAAGACTTCCACATTTGTAAATACGTAGCTGTTGAAGATTGCTGAGGTGGCATAAGCCATCCGGTAAGGATTTCAGATTTTCACATATCCATATCCTAAAATATTCAAGACAGTAATTAGTGTTGTCGTACAAGAACCCGTCCTGTGCGATTAACTCCAGTTGTTCACAACCAGATATCCCGAGGTGTTTAAGTGTCTTGAGGAGCTGACCACTCAATGATAACGACGTCAGAGATTTACATCCTTGGATATCCAAGTACTCAAGACAACCATCAGAAGAACCAACACCCTCCTCATCTACTAGTGATTTCAAACTTTTGCAACCTCTTATCCCTATTCTTCTGAGATTTTGGGGAATCTGGAATTTTGCAAAATATATCAACGAATCGCACTCTATAATCTCCATGTTTTTAAGAGAAGGTGGCAGACCAACACCTGGAAAAGAAACTAGAGATGAACATTTGTATATGCGAAGCTCTTGAAGAGACGACAGCTGATTTAACCCTTTTGGTAGCTTCAAAAGATTTCCGCACTTTTTTAACTCCAGACATTCAAGCTTGCACTCCAATATTTGCAATTGCAGCAACTCCTCTGCTTCTTCTCCCAATTCTTCAACTAGACGAGAGTTGTCTTCAATTTCCAAACGGCCAAGACAAGTCAACCGCCGCAATAATCTACCCTCATTCTTCCATGAAGACGTCAGCTTCTCACATCCACTGATCTTCAAATCTCTAACCTTGCTTAATCCCTTCCTCAACAATTCCCCTGTTTGCAGAGACATCACCTCCGAAATGTTTGAAAGCCACAAGGACTCTAATAACTCAAACTCAACCTTAGCATCTGTATGTACCAATACTTTACAACCGTCAATGTTTATTTGACTAAGTTGTTTGTAGTTGGCAATCGAAACCACCAATTCCTCACATTTAACAATTTCAAGTTTGGCTAACAAATCGAGCTTCTCTGGCAGCTTACCTTCCAACTTGGAACATTTTTTGATTGAAAGCCTTTCCACGCAAGGGAAAACACCACTTCCGTGATCCAGTTGGAAGGGAAGCCACACCTTCCAATGCTGCATATCCACAAACTCAAGAATCTCTAACAGCGGAAAAGCCAAGACACACTCGCCATAAAACTCAGCACCAACACTTTCCACTGCATTCATTCCTCTAATATAGAGCTCTTTGAGTTGAGGCAATTGTCCGAGAGGTGGCAACGATAAACAATTGTTACTTTCCTCTAAGCGCACAAGCACCATATTAGAGAAGAAAGAACCTCCAACCCATGATGAAAATTTCTTTTCGGCATAACTCTTGATGGTGAGCTCCTTGATCTTTCTATGAGGCTGTAACATGCCAAGCACAGTGGATTCCGTTTCTCTTGTGTCCCTTGAACGAGACCATTCTAGGACCAACGAATCAAGCCTCTCCTTGCATTTCAAGTTGGCCCTCCTGGCATCCTCAACATCAATCACATTCTCCAATTTTGAGAGGCACAATGTCCCTCGGAGATGCAATAGGGGCCCTATCTCTCTTATCCCTGACTGATCACTACCTTCGCTCACCACAAAAAGAGGCAATGATTGTAGATTCGTCAATCGACCTAGTTGCGAAGGCATTCCTTCCAACGAATATGCACCTGAGTTGTTGAGATGGCGCAACTTAATTAGATTGCTCAAGTCCGCAGGCAATGACTTCAATTTATAACAACCTTCCAATATCAATGTTTGCAAGTAGTAAAGAGTGCTTGTTGATTTGGGCAAACTGGTTATCAATGTGTAGGATAGGTCAAGATACTGTAACAACCTCAAATCACCGATTGACTTTGGCATCTCAGTTATTTTGTAGCCATTGAAAGAGAGCACTCGTAAGTATTGCAACTGTGGTAATAACTCAAAAGTAACCTTACGAGACAAATATTTGTAGCATCCCCTGGAATCTGAAAGTGAAAGTGGCAGGAATGTTCGTAAACGTTCAGCTTTTGGAAAGTCCTCAAATCTCATAACTCCATCAAATTGACCAGCAATAAAAGACGAATGGCGAGCCCTTCGAAAGCAAGTGCTTTGCAAGTTATCACCTTGCTTATCTTCCAATCTAAAACATATTTCACCTGCTGCCCATCGTGCTAAATCATTAATGAGGTCATGCATTACATATCGTGAATTGTTTTTGCTAGATTCTTGAAACAGCGACCTTGCTAATAGCTCTCGAAAGTAGTCGCGGCCTAAATCCTCCATTTGTTTATTGTCGTCATGTTTTTGTTGAATCAAACCCTCTGCCATCCACAAAAGTACGAGCTCCTTCTCCCCAAATTCATAGTCATTTGGAAGTATTGAGCAATAGGCAAAACACCTCTTCAAATGTGATGGAAGATAGTGATAGCTCAACTTTAGTACAGGAAGAAGGCCACTCTTATCTGCTAGATTCCATAATTTGTTGTCCAATATTTCTCCCCACTCTTCTTTTTCTTGGCGACGTAAGAGACCACCGAGAGTTCTTGCAGCTAATGGTAATCCACAACATTTTCCAACAATTTTCGTCCGAATTACCTCATAATTTACTGGTTTTCCGTTATTAATTTCCCCGAAAGCGTGTCGCTCAAATATTTCCATACAATCATCATCTGCCATACACTCCAAATTATGAACTCCAGCGGCTCCCGTAATCTTTGCAACATTCCTGTCACGGGTTGTCACAATTATCTTACTTCCTCCTGCTCCGACGCCAAAAGGGGATTGAAGTCTTATCCAGAGATCGTATAGATCATAGTCATCTTTGTCCCAAATATCATCTAAAACAATTAAAAACTTTTTTCCTCTTAATTGCTCACTCAAATCATGCTGCATTTTACTAAACTCCTCCACTTGAACGGGTTGGGATGTGATTGATTGAAGAATTGCCTTTGTCACTCGCACCACATCGAAGTCATCGGACACAGATACCCAAACCTTGAGCTCAAACTCCTTCATGGCATCATCTTTGTTGTTGAATACAAGTTGAGCAAGTGTCGTCTTCCCAACTCCTGGCAGGCCAACTATAGCAACTACAACAAAATTGACAGCACCTGCACGCTCGTATTTTCTGGACAACAATTCAATAATCTCCCCTTTGTCACCATCTCTTCCAACAACAAGCTTTTCATCTAATACGCCTGAACTTGGTAGACTTTGCGATTCCTTAGCAGACGTCCCAGTATCTTTCAAGCCAAACTTGTCTTTCCGTTCAGATATGTCTTGCAACCGCTTCGTAATCTTCTTCATTTCGGAGTTCATATCAAAACTCAATTTAACTTTATAAAATGATCTCCGTACCTTCCTGCTTGGGCTGGCTTGATCACGTCCCTCTATCATGCGCTTCAACATTTGAGTGGCAAATTTGTCCAACATGTCTTCGATATCATAAGCCAGGTCTCTGAGATCATCCAGCCACAGTTTCACACCACCTTCAGTCAGTTGCCTTTCCTCAGCGTCGCTCATCACCGCTCCAATTGTAGACAACGTGGTCCTCCACTTCTCCAGCTTCTGCCCGACGCCCCGGAAATTGCCCACGTACTCAAGAATCTCGCGAGGGGTCAACCTGTCGAGCAGCAACTGTAGAAACGCCACAAGAAAAACCTCTCCGAGTGCCATGTTAAGAGCGAGGATTACTCCGAGCAATCAACGAAAGAACGAACCGCTTTTGAGCAATATTGAGGTGCAGAACTGTACAAATTAAGTGAACAAACAAATGAATAAAAAGTGGTTCAAATAAAATGAAAAACAACTAATGTATTATTCAAATAAATAATAAGAACTTACATGGAAGTTCAAATCTAACTCTGCTTGTGATCAACAAATACAGACTCAACGAAGGGAAGATCAACGGTCAAAGACTTGTTCCTTGGAAATTTGGAAGCTTGACCCGTTGAGACTCAGAAATAGTCACAACTGCACAAATTAAAATGATGAGAACTAATTATTGATGCCTGTGCAATTATATACAAATTTATAGTAAAAGTGAAATAATCAATTAATGGACTCCTAGTAAGCATTTCTAGAGGTGACAATTAATGGACTCCAATAAAAAATAAAATAAAAAACTTGATATTGCATGTATAAAGCACAATAAAACACACCACATAATATTACTTACTAGGAAAATGTTAGGAAGATCACATATTTTTGTGTCATATTTATGTACCATTTGATGTGGCAAGTAAGGTATACATGTCACGTCAATTTATGAATCTATCTCATTGGATGTTGATTGTGTCCATCACTTACCATATGAGATGATCCTAATATATTATATAAATATGTGATTTTTCTAGCACTACCCTTTAAATAATAAAGCACAATAAAACATACTATATACGATTGCAAAAATCATATATTAGTATACATTGTTTTTCTTAAATTTTAACATGTTGAACAAATAAACGGGCAGTTAGTTCTAAAGGGTTTAGGGTTTTGGGTTTAGAGAGTTGAGGAGTTTGGGCTTAAGGCCCGGCCCAAGTATTGGGCCAAGGGCCCGTGTGACTTGGCCCGAAGGCCTGTGTAGATACAAGGGTTGGGTGTAGGTTGTAGCGGGCCAAAGGCCCGAAGTTGGGACACAGCCCGCAGGGCCTCGGTTTGTTTCTCGCCGGGAAAAGGAGGCCGGAGCTTCCTAGCTCCGGACGACGCCACCCTAGTCTACGATTTAAGTGCCAAAACGAAGGTAGAGGTGAGAGGAAGAGATTGGTACCTGTTTCACGACGAGTGGTGGCCGGGAAGTGGCCGGATTTTCGCTGGAGAGTCACGGGGTTTCGCCGGAGATCTCCTGGGTTTCTGGGCTTCACCGAGCTTCACTGAGACGGGGAAGAGGGAGGGGAGATCCTCGCGAGGGCGAGGGTGGTGGTGGTGTTGCCGGGGTGCCACTTTGGGTGTCCGTGGGTGTGTGCGGGTTCGATCGGGGAGAGAGTCCAAGAGAGAGAGAGAGAGAGAGAGTTGAGCTGAGAGAGAAACACGCAACGCAGGGTGGAGGAGTGATTGCTCGTAGACAACTAAGTTGCATTTCCTCGCAACACCGATTATTTTATTTTGAGAGGGTGATTGGTTCAATTTTATAGGCCATTGTAGATAATGTTGAGACTCAAACACCCTGAGCCACACAACACAAAGAAGAAGAAAATGATCCTGCAAAAAGTTACCATGGATTATTGTTTACCATCTTGTAGTTATACTACTTAATTAGTCACAGAGCCATATTTAGGGCCTGTTTGGGATTGAGGTGATTAAAAAAAAAGCTACTATAAAAAAAAGCTATGAAAATTTTTGGTGTTTGGTAAACTTTGAAAAGCAGCTTTGTTTCAAAGTTGAGGGTGAAAAAAAGCCCAAAACCAGGAGATGACAAGAAGCTGCAATTTGCAGCTTCCAAAAGCAGCTTATTTTCACCCACACACGGGTGAACAGTGTACATGTTTAATGAAATATGAATAACCCAAAACTGCCCTCCCTTTCCCTTCACCTACGCTCTCACCTTTCCAGAGCTCTCTCGCACGCTCTTCACCTCAGGGCTCTCTCGCATAACCCGAACCAGAGCGATCTCTCTCGTTCTCTCATTCTCTCGTTCCAAAAACTAGCGAACTCGTTCTCTCGTTCTCCAGGTTTCTCCAGGTAAGCTTCTCATTTATTTGTTTGGATTTTTCAAATTAGGGATGGGGAGATTAGGGAAAGAGGGGTGGGAAGAGCAAAGGGATGAGGGTATGGGTGTCGGGAAAAACAATTGGGGATGGAGAGTGGGGAAAAATTAATTGGGGAAGGTGATATGGTTTGTGGAAAAAATTAATTGGGAAAAAATTAATTGGGGAAAAAATTAGGGTTTGTGGAGGAAACAAAAAAAAATTGAGAGAGAAGTTTGATTACTTCTGTATTCGTTTTTTTGAAGAAGGTCTGCTTCTGATTTGGGTTTGTGTAAGGGATAATTTGCTTTGCTCTGCTTCTAATCTGTGAACTGTGCTTCTGATTTGTCATGTGTTTTTTGGGTCAAAATATTCCTCAGAAGTTCTGAGTTTATGTTGCAGGTGACACATTAGAAGATCGCAGGATTGAAGATCGCAGACAAGAAGTCAGAGGGTTTATATTCTCCAAAATTCTGGTTTGTTTTCCTTGGTATAATATAATAGCACAAGTTATAATAAATTTTATTATTACTCTCTTTGGTTTTTGCTGGAAAGCTTAATTTTTTTTTACATGATGCCATTGTATTTTCCCTTTCACTAATGACACAAATTGAGTCGACTGGGAAGATATCAAAACAAATCCGGAAGAAGAATTTGAAACAGCTTTTGTCCTTTGTTTATTGGAAACAGAAAGGAAATAAATAGAAAAGGGAACAAGAACTTCTTAGGTTTATGTGATTATCACCTCTAGGTTTTGTTTATCTGTTCATGATTTTGTTCATATTAGAGATAATATGAACTTGATCAGGAATAGATGAGTTTCCAAACTGAGTATGAAATTAAGTTGCAACTCACATTAGATTTTTTTTGTTTGTTTTTGTTTTGTTTTTTTTAAATTGTCTATCATTTGGATTCCAGTTTTGTATTTTTTCATGTGGGGGTTATTTTCATAGTAGCTTTTTTTTTTAATCGCCTCAAGGAGTCCCGAGCTATAGCTAAAGCATTTAAACACAACTGCAGTGAGGGATCATTTATATATGTATGTATATATATGTATGTATGTATGTAATTTGGTGCTGCTGAAATTGTTTTTATAGGAGCATTTAAACACAGCTGCATACCTGTTTTAAACACAGCTGCATACCTGTTTTAGTTTTAAATTTTCTTACACTTCCCGAACTCGAAAATCAATGAAATTTTGATACAACTTAGTTTCGGGTGTCTACTTTGGATCTGGAAATTTTCACGTGTTTTGGTTGCACGAGCTATTTTTGGTGAATTTTACGGTTCAGGTCACTTTTGTAATTCTCTTTTGGTTATATTTATAATTCGCTCAACTTTGCTGGCTACATGCTCTCAATCATTGGGGAAAATGTAAATTGGATTTGCGGTTCAACTGTCATAGTTTGCCTCAATTTCACAGTTGTGCTTCAAGACATTTGATTTAACAAAGAGGGTTTTCTTAGAAATGAGATCAGATTCTTTCTTCATTATTTCGAAAACCTGTGAAGGGGAGATACATGGGTAATGCTACTTCTGTCTGTGTTTGATTGGTTTTTGCCAAAATTGATCTTTTTCTAACGAGCGAATATATATGTATGTATGTATGTAATTTGGTGCTGCTGAAATTGTTTTTACAGGAGCATTTAAACACAGCTGCATACCTGTTTTAGTTTTAAATTTTCTTACACTTCCCGAACTCGAAAATCAATGAAATTTTGATACAACTTAGTTTCGGGTGACTACTTTGGATCTGGAAATTTTAACAAATAGGGTTTTCTTAAAATGAGATCAGATTCTTTCTTCATTATTTAGAAAACCTGTGAAGGGGAGATACATGGGTAATGCTACTTCTGTCTGTGTTTGATTGGTTATGTAATCATTTATTGGTTATGTATTGGTTATGTATGTATCATTTAGAAAACCTGTGAAGGGGAGATACATGTGATGTAATCATTTATTGGTTATGTATGTATATGTATTTATATATACAAACTGTGAACCAAAACTGTGATGTAATCTTTTGTATGTATATGTATGTATATGTATGTATATGTATTACAAACTGTAATCTCTTGTATTACAAACTGTGAACCCAAACTGTGATAATTTGGGATGAGATGAAGGAAAATAGGGTTGTGGGATTGAAAGCAATATTGCAGAAGGGTTCTTTAGATAACATAATCCAGAGTGTATTTGGCACTAATTATTTAGGTTCAGAGAAGGAGGTTAGCACCAATCGAACGCTAATGTTGCTAGTTCAAGAAGGGTACGACTTGATTTATAGGTTTAATTTGGAGGATTATTTTCCCTTGAGGTTTTTGGACTTGTATGTATATGTATCAAACTGTATATATATTACAAACTGCACTGAAGTCTGTGATGTAATCTTTTGTATGCATATGTATGTATATGTATGTATATGTATTACAAACTGTTTCCACTTCAAACGCTGTCCCCAAACGCTGTCCCCAAACACTGTTCCCAAACGCTGTCCCCTTAACTGTTTCCACTTCAAATGCTGTCCCCAAACACGACCAAGTGAAGAACGCATCTTTGCCTTGGACTCGGCACTACATAAAAGTCAATTTTTTGTCAAATTATGTACCACATTAGTATGTTCTTTGGGGACTCAGCCACCCACAGAGCAAGACATAAAGGATACAAATGGATCTTTCAGCAGTTGTGCGCTGCATGCAACCTACAACTGTTAACTTGTCTAACTACTCAAAGGAGCATTTGAGATAGAAATAAACATAAATTTTAGGGAGCATGTCGTCCTTTACATATAGAACGTTGTAATTCTTATAACATTTGACAAACATTAATCAAAATGAAATCCAGTGGCCCATAAAGGCCTAATAACTATTTGAACGAGGATCAAAAGTTAGAAGGCAATTAAAGTTCATGGTGACTCCAGAAAAATTTAGTCATCAATCACAACATTTGTCTAGCTCCCCATCTCTGTGAATAGATATCTTTTAAAGTGTAAAAGCCACGATTGACATTGAGCAGTACGCTAAAAATAACTCTCCCTTCAAAAGGTTACATGATGCTCAAATGGTAGGTTACACGTGCTACGGAATCCAAATTTAAACTTTTCTGAGCCTCCAAATGGTAATCTTCATACTCTTATTATAACATTTTACATACTTGCTTTGTATAATTATTACAATACAAAACAAATTTTCAATTGTCAGGAAAATATTACTTGGTAGATGCGGGGTATCCACAAATGAGAGGTTATTTGGGACCATATAAAGGTGAAAGATATCACCTCCCGGACTTTCATAGGGGTGCCGAACCAACGGGTCACAAAGAGGTATTCAACCACAGGCATTCTTCTCTTAGGAGCATCATTGAACGAACTTTTGGGGTATGGAAGAAAAGATGGGCAATTTTAAGGGATATGCCTAATTACCCGTTCAATAAGCAAGTGAAGATTGTCATTGCTACAATGGCTCTTCATAACTACATACGGAGGTATTTTGAACATGATCGTCATTTTGATGACCCCAGGGACTTTTGCGAAGAAAGCGATAGTAGTGATGATGATGATGATGAATATCAAAATTATCAAGTTGAAGGATCACATGAGATAGAGGCATTAAGAAATAGAATAGCAACAAGTTTGATGAATGCATCTAATTAGACTACTTTCAAGTACATTAACAATATTGTACTAATGAATCCTAGCTATTCACTCTAAAATATTTCTATTAAAGTAGTTTGTCATACTAATTAATATTTAAGATAAAGTTTATAAATATTTTTCTTCTAAAAATAAAATATATTTAGTAATTCACTTTTATTTGTTAAGAAAATTAAATTAATAGCACATCTAGTAATATACCCTTTTTGGTCATTTCACACAGTCACAGCTGTTTTACAAAAAAGTTTACCAAACACTATGATACTGCTTTTTTTTCCAAAAGCACTTTTACAAAAAAGTTTACCAAACACTTTGCTGCTTTATTTCACAGCCGCTTATTCTCACAGCACAGCCGCTTATTCTCACAGCAGCTTTTTTTCAAAGCACAGCAATACCAAACCAGCCCTTAGATCAATTGAAGATGAAGAGCAAGTTTTATTAGCATATAATTAATGGACATCTGGCTATTAAAGAAAGGAAACAAGTCAAACAACATTGAGCAAGTAATTTTAGATTTATGTCCTGCCGTGTGAATTTGCTTTTTACTAATAAGTTGCCCAGCAACTTGACTTTTTCACTACCCAAAAGCTGAAAATGCATGAACCCGAATATGCTAGGAAAGTACAAAAACTAAATTAACACGATGCACGTGGAGAGAAACTTAAACACAAATTGTATTGTTAATCCATGGTGTTATGATGACACCCCTACATATGTCTAGTCATTCCCTAAATATGGTCATTACCTGCTGAGAACTCTATCGGATGATTTACAAAAGATACCATATTCGTCGTTGATATATTTGAAGGAGTTATACAATTTAGGATTTAGTAAAAGGGTGTGATATTTATATATCCCTTTTCACTTCTCATATACTTTTTTAATTTTTGGCCGTCAAATTAGATAAATTGAAGTAGATCAAATGACAGAAGTTAACAAGTAGTATATGAGAAGTAAAAAAAAAAAGTGAGAACTAAAAATAGATGTGTAAATGGTACATCCCTTTAGTAAAATAGGTAGTTTAAATGGAATTAGGTGTTGACTTGAAAGACTGCAACTAGTCTTCCTCTTTCGACGACAACTACTTCAGAGCTCTTCAATTTGCCATAAAGACTATAACAAGTCTTATCTTTCTGCCCATAAAGAAAGAAAGATTCCTCTTTTTTTCTCTCTCTCTTTATTTTTAGTGGGGTCATATTGTTTTCTTTTTTATTGCTTTCTTATCGCCAATATCCTACACGGTTATATTTTAAGAAAACTAATAAAAATAATTTAAAATTGTTGAATTTTAACGATAAAGATAAAATAAATAGTATTAGATTTGATTTTTTTAGTGTAAAAATATGATTTTTCGTTAAAATGAACAGTACCACGGATTTTTCATTAAAACTTCCTTATACTTTTTCTTTTCCTTTATACGAACGATTTTGGGGGGAACTGAAACTTCGGCTGGAAGAGTGACTGCTGGTAAACTTATAACTTTTAAAGTAGATCCGTGTTTTTAGCCTTTGGATCAAATTTTAAGGGTACATATTATTTGATAAGGAGGATTAGGTGGAAGAGATCCGGAGAGGACCCCTTCCTTTTTGTGAGGGTGCTTGGTTCAGTGTTTTTGTAGGCCATTGAAGATAATATAGAGAATCAATTTTAAATTATGTTACTTAAACTAATAGTTTTTGGAAGATGAGGAACCAAACACGCAATTTAGGGTGGAGGGGTGATTGGTCGTAAACAACTGAGTTGCCTTTCTTGCAATACCGATTATATTATTTTGAGAAGGTGATTGGCTCAAATTTTTAAGCCATTGTAGAAAGACGGGCAAGGGCTTAGCGTCTAAGTGGGTTTATGCAAATTTATTATATATCTTGTAAATAAGTGTTTATTTAGACCTAAAAAAAATATACTTGTATGGATAATAAAATAATGATAAAATGTAAGAATAGAAGTACAAGAATACACAAATTATATACATCTAAAAAGTTCAATATTTAAAAAACAATAAGCATATAATCATAATGAGGAGGATTTGGATGATAAACTAAATTCTTCTTCTTCATGAATCATGATCCTTGTATTGGATTAGACATAAACTAAATTATTTAACCTTGTTGTATCTAGTTTATTTCTTTTCTTTGTATGTATCCCTTAAAAAATGCTCCAATTCATTTCACTATTGGATGAACTTGTAGTAAATCCATCATTTGTAAATTAGGTACACCATTTCCATAAGTATACCACCATGAAACCTAAAAAGAAAAAAGCACAAAATTAATAAAAATATATATATAAAAAACCGTCCAGGACCGCCTAGACCCCGCCTAGCTCTCCACCTAGGAGCTACCTAGGCCCACCTTGCCCGCCTAGGGCTGCCTAGCTTCCAACCGAATTTTCCAAACGCCGTGTCCAAAATTGGAGCGGGGCTCCACCGCCAAGCGCCTAGACGGTCGCCTAGGTCAATTTTTAGAACAGTGCTATTACATGGTCACATATAATAAAATTTAGACCTACAGATAAAAATTTTGAGATCCCACAACATCAAAAGTTGTCACTCAAAGCTGGACTCACCAACGCATGTAGGCAGACGTGGAAAAGGGAATACGCCTAGCGATTTTTAGAACCTTTCTAGGCCCCCCACCCTCTTGTCTAGGCAGAACAGGTCGATCTACTTTAAGTGTACTACTTCTCCTTCACTCTACTACTGCCGATATTGTCTAACTTGAATAATGTGCCATTTAAAATTTTTGTTTTGGTGGCAATCATGTGCCAATTTAACGCTATGTGTGTAGATGTTAAAGTATAACAGTTTCACATCGGTGAAAATAGAAATGTTGCACGTGCTTATAATCAATTGAGTTATTCTCCATATTACGACTTGATTTTATGGTAAAATCTTAACTTTTTTATGACATGTACTTAAGTAATTGAATTTCTTCATATTCTATCAATTAGTTTTACAATGAATTTTCAACGACTCAACTTTCTTCGCTCTAAGAAAAAGAGTAGAAAGAAAAAAAAAAAAAAAAAAGGAAAAAAGAAAAAAATAAATGAGAGCTTGAAAACACTCACTCCTCTCTCTTTAAAGTTTAAACCCTTCCAAACCAACCCTAATCTAGAAGTTTCACAGCTGCCGGCCCCTTGCTCCAGCTTGGGGCTAGCGGCAGCCCCTTCTTCTAGCCTCTCTCCGTTTTCCCCTTTTTCCCTCACCCTTACCCATTTGTTCTTCCTTTCGATCTTCTTCCCCTTCGGGCCGATCCCTCCTCTGCGCCTCACCTCCTATCCCATTTCTTATTCCCCTATCGGCGTCTCCAACACCTCTATCTAGTTGGGTGAAGTCAGGCTATTATCTTTCCCATCGATAATGGCCTAATTTTATTTCTCCTTCACTAATGAGTGTGTTGGTCGTGTTCACGACGGTGGTATAGTGCGGGTGCACGTGGTAGTTCGCTGTGCAAATCTGAAGCCATTGAGGCTCTCTATCAGTCAGTGGCTTTGGCGTGACTTTCCTCTGCTCCGCACACCACTATTCTTTGCCAAGCACATGCCCTCCAAGTTATGGACTTTGCTGTTGCAATTGGAAAGTTGTTGCAACTTACCCATTTTGTTGCTTCAGTTTGCGGATAGCTATTGGAATATTAATGATGAATGAATGGTTCCAATTTTGCTATGCTGTGATCCATGTGGGTTCGGTGTTCACAAATCTTATCTTTTTCCAGTTGACGGAAACCCTTGGCGGGTTTTGGTGCTAACGATTTTATGCAAGTTACTATGGGCTCGCGGTGGCGGTGACGACAATGTGACTGTGATTTTGGCGCGTTGTGGTATCTCCTCTGCCACCCAAGCCCCATACTTTTCTTGTCCTGGGAACCGACACACCCATATAGTTGCAAGGTTGCAGCCCACGCCTCCTGCCATGATTCTACTCTTGTTTCTCCTGTGGACACGTCATTGGTTTTAGTTTAGGTTTAAGTTTCATTTGTAGCACCGTGAGAAGGTTAGGTTAGTAATTTTGTGTTGCTTTAGCGATCTATATGTGTCGCTTGTGTGATTTATGTAGTATCATTGTCAATGGCCTTATGTCAGGGTACTGATGTTCGGATTATCGCGTTTGCCGTATTTGTGACAGTGATACCCGAAACTCTTGTTTGTGGTGGTTTATTGTGGTAGTCGTATAGGGGTTTAAAATTATTTATATCTTACGCAAACTATATCCAGATCAAGAAATTGATCACTGGAGAAGGATTTGGGTCTCATCCAGATCCAAATTGTGGGATCCTAGGGATCATCACATCCTAACCATTTGTTGTATATCGTGCGGTCATAAATCATTTTGAATTTATTTATTTAAAACTAAACATAAGTAGAACCTAACGAAAATTGACAGCATGATGTACGATAAACAACCATAATGTGAGGATCCCTAGAATATCCACAAAGGAGAGAATCCTCATCCACGGGAAAAATTGTACCCATCTAATACCTCTTGTATTTGGTTGTTCTTATTAATGAAACTTTTGTCAAAAAAAAAAAAAGAAAAAAAAAGAGAAAAAGATAAAGAGTAGAACGACGACGTCCTTTTAATACTTTTCTATCAAGTGTTAGTGGTGTGTAAAAAATATTAAAAAATTAAAAAGGTGTGGAGTAATTTGGGATATGTGAATATAATCTCTCGTTAATTTTATGTATCTTTTTGGTTAAACAAACAGTTACCCTTTTCATGTGGATTGCATTTCATCACCATATTCTCCCTCAAAAAATTTACATCTGCAAACATCCCTACACCACATTCTTTCCCGAATTACTGTTGGAAATTTTGAGTAGAATTTCATTGTCACACATTGGTCACTACCAAAAAGTTTCTTCACTTTGTAAGGCTTTATCCCTTATAAAAAGTGATTGGAGTGATGGACCATGAAGAATAAAATTGGTTGAATCTCTCGTTAATTTTATATATTTTTTCTGGTTAAACAAACAGTTACCCTTTTTCACGTGGATTGCATTTCATCACCACATTCTCCCTCAAAAAATTTACATCTGCAAACATCACTACACCACATTCTTTCCCCAAATTACTGTTGGAAATTTTGAATATAATTTCATTGTCCCACATTGGTCACTACAAAAAAGTTTCTTCACTTTATAAGGTTTTATCCCTTATATAATTATTTATCAATTAATTATCCAAAAATGGACCAAGGCTCAAGCTCTAATAATTAAATTATTTAATTAATTATTTTTAATTAATTTCATATTTAATTAATTAATTAATTTTTATCCTTTCAAATGAAGTCTAAAGTGTGTGGTGAAAGAACGCAGAGAGCAAACACCCCTATGAGAAGATGTCTCCCAACAGTCACATCCCATTTTCATACCTGTTGCGAACATGTATAATCCTACTATACATACATCCATCTGCATGGTATTTAGAACATAGAAATATATCAAATTCTTCTTATACATTCCTAAACCTTCTTGTTGAGAGAACCACAAAGAAATTCGCCAGAAGTCAATTTCCGGTGTTGGAATTCTAACTTGATCATTGAATCATGGTGAAGCAGACGTCCGTAGAACTACAAACACTGAGTATGGGTGAAATATCTGTTTCAAAAACATTGCGATACGCAAGCCTCGATCATCAGTTTATCTGTTTAATATTATTTCGTTGTTCATACTCTGTTAGGTTAGTTGTTCACATCTATTATTTATTAGCATCTATAAATTTATCATTGATTGTGATATTTATCCAACAATTACAACCTTACACGCTTAAACCTCTCTCTTTAAACATCAACCTGAGAACTTCTACCACCGTCCATCTCGAAGTCCCTACGAATCCAACGTAAAATAAAAAAACTCAAATCATACAACGTAACGCACACGCACTTGATCATAAATACCCCGCCACAACCACAACTACCATGCGAAAGCAATCGGATTTCGCCATTACGACGCGGCGAGATTCAAATTTCAGACTCAACTCAACTCGGTCTCTCTCGTCTCGGTTCCAACGGTCAGCCATGGCCACCATCCACTGTATAGCTTCTCAGAGCTTCCTTTCTCACCCAAACCACAAACCCCGAAAACCCATTACCGCACATCCAAAACCCATCTCGACCTCCAATTTTCCCACCTCCAAACTCCCAAAAAACCCATCTTTCCCGAGAAACAAACAGAAAAGCAGGTGGCTTCTGAACTCGGTGGTCGAGCGAGAAGAGCGTGATGTGATTCCCGTTCAGAGCACCGACTGTACGGACCAGAAGGAAGGGGCGGTGGCGGCGAGGAGGGCGGATAGCGACGGCGGGGATCAGGGGGAGTTAGTGAGTCAGGTGGGCGGGTTCGGAGAAAGTGAGGGGAGGCTTTCGTTTGAAGGTGCTGGTGGTTTTGGGTCTTCTGGGGTTGGAAGTGAGAGGGAGAGTGAGGAATTTGAGAGGCTGGTAGATAGGACTATCAATGCCACTGTTGTGCTTGCAGCTGGTACTTTTGTTCTCACTAAGTTGATCACCGTCGATCAGGATTACTGGCATGTAAGTCAATCTCTTTGGTATTTAATTTCCATTTTATTTTGTTTACAGAGATTAATTGCCATTTTATTTGTTTTCATGTGATTGTGTGTGAGAACTTGAATTGAATTATGCTAAAGGAAGATGGGTTTTGGGTGATGTTGGTTCTTAGTTAAGTTCGGTTTTTGCTTTTCTTGTTCTTTAAGGTTGCTTATTTTTCTTTGGTAATTAACATTGGCTACTTTTACACCGAGGTTTGAATTGCCTGAGTGCTTTTTGACTTTGAGTCCGAAGATTTAGAATTCTCAGTTACTTGGTGGATTAAAGTTGAGTTGTATCAGCTATGTCTGTGTGGAGCAGGTTGTCTGTCTTATGATGAGTTGTGAATATGCTGGATTGATGCTGTATATTCAGATTAACTGTTGTTATCTTTATATGAGCATCCACAAGGAGGCGAGAGTGAGGGGATGTTCTTCTATAATTTACATGGAACTAATGAAGTGGATACTGCTTTTGAAGGATTGTGATTATGCAAACTTGTTAATCCAAAGGAAACATGATATGAAACTGTTATGTCGAATCAGGGATGGTTTTGCACTATAAAATGACAATCATGGGGGAGTAAAAAGGTCATAGAATGGTATGGATGGAACAAGCATGGTGAGATAAGTGAGTTGCTTGTTATGGATGGGAAAAAGAAAACAGAATTGGATGTAAATGATTGCTGGGAGACTTGGAAAGTGCTGCCATTTCTGAAGTTGAATTTGGTGAAGAGGACTTGTCTCTTATGATTAGAGTTGTATGACTATGAAGCAGTTAGTTGGTCCTGTCCGACTAATTCATATAGCTATCTTCAGGAAATTTCTTGATTAGTTCATAGTTATGTATAGGAGATTTCATCATAGGTTGTGATTTGTGATTTGTATGTCTTAAACTATTTATTACTATAGGGCTGGCTCTGCTTGATTGTATAATTTCCTATTTACATGTGCACTGCACTTTTAACAATTTGTCAATGGGACTTATGTGTTTGGTACTCATTTCAGGGTTGGACTCTATATGAGATCCTACGGTATGCACCTCAACACAACTGGTCTGCTTATGAGGAAGCTCTCAAGACTAACCCAGTTTTAGCCAAAATGGTGATTAGTGGTGTCGTGTACTCTGTAGGGGACTGGATTGCACAGGTGTGTTGCTGTTATGAAGTAAAATTTTTTAATTCTTCCAGTTGGTGAAGTTAGTCCTTGACGTGCATATTGCTTGTCTGATCATTTTGTAGTGCTTTGAAGGAAAACCTTTACTTGAATTTGATCGAACGCGAATGCTCAGATCAGGTCTTGTTGGATTTACTCTCCATGGTTCCCTCTCTCACTACTATTACCAGTTATGCGAGGTAAATTCCTTCTGCAGTTATTTATTTTCAGAACTCAACGTTTTCTTTTCTTCTTTTTATCCATAAGACAAATTTCCTGGGCTTCTTAAACTAACTTAAACTTGTTTCAGGAGCTTATTCCTTTCCAAGACTGGTGGGTGGTTCCTGCCAAAGTAGCCTTCGACCAAACTGTATGGGCAGCGATTTGGAACAGCATTTACTTTACAGTTTTGGGATTTTTGCGTTTTGAATCTCCCATCAGTATTTTTAGTGAACTTAAAGCAACATTTTGGCCGATGCTGACAGTAAGAGAACTTCTGCCTTTTTGTCTTGAATTACTATCTTTTCATGCGCTCTTCAGTGTTTAGAGTTAAACGACTTGAAATTTAATTGATTCTCTGTCCTCTAGCTTGTGGACATTTGAAAAGTCAAGATCGTCCAAAGTCTTTAATCAATTTGAACTTGAATTCTTAGTTTAATTGATTCCGCTGTGATGTAGTTTAACCTTGGAATAAGAGTTTGGTGCCATTTATCTTATCAATAGGTATATTCTCTAACTATAATGTTTGACCTTACCTTGGGGTGTTAAAAAATTGTTGTCGAAATGAACATGAATCTATTTGGTCTTAAAGTTTTATCTAGCGGGTATAGTTTTAAAGAAACTTAAATTTTATCTTTACAAAATTTACATGTATTGAGTTTTTACCTTTAAACAATAATGTTTGCTTTCTCTGGCTGGGGCTTAGAATCAGGTAGTGCATATAGGGTAAAACTTTGTCAATCGTAAACTCCAAAATGTGATTTTTCCTTCCCAAACATGCATTTTCCTTCCTGAAGTCCAAAGCACGCAAGGAAAAGCAGGGTTATTCAGCGAAATAAGAAGTGCTCGTGGTTTATGGTCCGAGTCATGTCACATGTGTCAAAAGTGCTACTAATTTTAGTGGTTACATATTCCTTGATTAAAGCTAGGGTTAAAAGAAATGTTTGTTTGACCAATTGACATATTTCTGTAATGTAATTTGCTATGCAGGCAGGGTGGAAGCTTTGGCCATTTGCGCATCTTGTTACCTATGGTGTGATCCCCGTCGAACAAAGGCTCTTATGGGTGGACTGTGTAGAGTTAATCTGGGTGACTATACTCTCAACGTAAGTATTTAATATTGATAATTTGTACTTTCACTAGTGAGTGGAAAAGATTGATGATCATGACTTACTTTCCTCCTATAAGAGCTTAATAATTACCCTCGCTAAAATTGTTCATGTTTTCTTTCTAATTTGTTCTATCCTTGTCTTTGTTTATGTCTCGGGTTAGAACAAATTACTCTAATTCTTCCCCCGCCTATGGATCGATCAACAACACACCATAATCGATGTTTTCTTCATAAAAAAGTTGATTGGAGAAGTCAAGCTAAAAAAAAACAAATTTGAGGCAAATGTGATGTGTAAATATATGACAGATAGTATATAGGGAGAGCGGTGGGGTGGTATATATTTCTATGTGCCTCGGGCTATGTTCTAGTCACATTTTGTATTGCTCTCAATTTCTATAGGAAACATTCAACCATAATATTTTTGGAATGTTTAAACCTAAGGTTTTGTTAGGTAATTACAAAGTTTGTTTTTGAGGGTTTAAGTGTCTAATTTCGTGCTGCAGCATCATGTCTTCGGTAGATTTTACATCAAACATTGCTGATAATTTCTGTTTGCTAGTTACTCAAATGAAAAATCAGAAGCAAGAATTTCCGAGGCACCAGCTGAAGCAAATTCCAGTTCTTCAGACACAGGTCCTCTTGAGGTATTATACAAACCCTTTTACACTGATTTCCTTACGTATATAAGAGCCGCAGATTACACACTGTGCTACATTTTTTTTTTACTTCTTCCCCCTTCCATCAGGAGTAAACAAATTGAAAACGACTAGAAGATCAGAGACGGATACATACATGAGGGAAATTGCTCAATGAGTGTGTGTAAAAACTAAAAGATCGATTCCATGATGGACCACGACTGCAAAGGTGAAATACCTAGCGATGTGGAAATATGCCTTGGCTGGTTGTTTATTGTATATATACTGCACCGATCTCAGAACATGCACATGTACGTGATCTGTATAGTTTGGGGAAAGTTGGATAAAATTTTCACAATTGAGATGTGTTTTCACGTTCTTGATGTGTCTTTTGATTTGGCGATATTGCTTATTTTTACTAGCCTATCAACACGAGCCTCGTTGTGAGATTGATTATTTTTACTTACAGAGTACTTGTGGATAAAACCTGTGGAAGAATTAATCATATTTGCAGGAGAGATGCATTGACCGAACAAGAATCTTTCAGAGTCAAAATTAATATACACAGATTGGTATATAATTAATCATCCTCTATGGAACAAAAACAGCAATTAATAAATTACAACATGCCGATCGAGCAAAATCGGTTTGTGAATAGTAAAAGAAAGGTTTAGCAGCTTTAGCTAGCTCCTCCATTAAGCCGTAGACATGTTAGAAAGCCGACTGGGCGTTGGTTGGAAATTCCACCACCGAAGACTTAAGCTGCGATTTGGAGTAGATCTCAATGCCCTCCTCAAAACCTCCTTGTTTCCATAGTTCCTCCACCACTTTTCGCCTCCCGGCGGCACTGCATACCCGTGTCGGCTACACCTATTCAACCCAGGACGATTCGAGCACGTACAAACCTGTTTTCGAGGCCTCGGGGATGATACTGATGATGATGATGCCACCATACAACTCTTGTTTCGGGCAGCGAGTGTGCGTGGCCGTTCTCCAATGTAGTCGTAGCGAGGGTTGTTCTTCTGCATTTTGTGAAGTTGAAAGCCAAAGGAGAAGAGAAGAATGGTGGTCTGTGTAATTTGATCTTTTGAATGTAGAATGTATCACGAGTAATGTGCTTGGGCTGTGGAGACATATAATATGATATGCTTATATGGTTGTATATGAGTGACCGTAGGGCGAAGACTTTCCCAGTTCAAAATGGTAGGGCTCTGAGTGTTTGACCAGCCGATTACATATTATATCTCTTGTAATTCTCTTTGGTTTTTAGTAACCAACAGAATTCTCTCCGCATCCTCTCTTTTAACAGGATTTCGGAAATCTGTAAATTGTAACTATTTTTCGTACATTGTGCGGTTAATTTTCTTCAAGTAGTGTTTGTATTCAATTTTAAATAAAATAATTTAAAATAATTTCTAATTACGATAAAAGAACATGATCTACAGATTCTTAGAATCTTCACAAAAGACATTTCGGAGAGGATCTGAATTCAGAGATCAAATGACGACTTGGTCTACAATATCGGACTTTTTATTATTTTTATTATTTATGTACAGGAGCGGAAACATTTGAATAGGGAAGTCTTGTCAAAGTATGATCGATGAATAGTCGGCGCATGGGACGTGTCAATTGAAGAATGGTCAGGGCATGGGACGTGTCAAACACCTTACATGTGTTTGGTATGACCCATACGTAAGAAAGTTCTGCATGAGGTGGAAAATCGTGTACCAACAGGATCCTCTTTGGTGAGAATATTGAAGATTTGATAATTATGTATGTTTATCGTATATTATACAGTTAATTTTTGTTAGGTACTGTTTATGTTTAATTTTAAATAAAAATATTTAAAATGATTTATAACTGTACAATATAGATAAACGGATGTAATTCACGAATTTTTAGAATTCTTACAAAAAGAATCCGACAAGAATTCAGATTCAATGGTGTAAACATATATCACTTCACATAGTATAATCAAGGGTTGCATCCCTCTATTGAGAGGAATGTACATATCATTTTCCTTAGGATAACATGGTTTTATCGTATAAATTTTCGTTCAATTTTTTTAATTTTTATTTAGAGATCATCCTTATAAAGACACGTTTGATCATTTGCAGATCATTAATCATCTAAATATATCAAATAAATAAAAAGTTTATCATGACAATGTTAATTACTTAGAACACACACCATTAATTTGTTCAATACATTTAGATGGCAAAACAAACTACGATTTGAATAATTTTTATTATAGAAATGATTTTCAAATATAGATTAAAAAAGTATACGCTTCTAATTATGAAAGTTTTACAGTAAAAATATATTATTCGCCATGAGTGATATGCATGCATTTTCTCATAAGGAGATACAAATATTATTCTTTAAAAATTGTTGCGTAAGTGGTTATCAGATGACGATACAAGTGAACTCATAATGTACAAGTGAACCTCACAATGAATCAATGACTAACAACTAAACACAACTGTGTGATCGATTGTCACTAGTACGAGTACATAATCATGCATGAAAGATGAAACATGCGTGCATGATATAATTTCGTACTTGCCAACAAGTTTTGTACCATATGCATTAAACATGAGGCCTTGGGTAACATGGGACTGAATTTTACTTTCTAATTGGCCGAGGTACTTTTCTGCTTGGAAGTTAGAACAACTTCGGAATCAACCGTCAAATGTCATTGCTAAGTTAGACTTCTATGCCACATTTTTTTAATGAAGACTTTTAAGTCAGTTTGTGCATGTTCATTATCCAAACAGCATAAAACATAATGAAAATGATTTTAATGTGTCGCTTAACCATGGATTTTTTTACTATTCAATCCAATCATGTCCAAAATGTGGTTGAGAATTAGTTATAATTCTTAACCTTTTAAGTAGGAATGTAGCTTCATTTATATCTGGTACTGAAGATTCTCACCAGATGATAATTTTGATTTGAGTTGGTTTGGTTTGAGTTTGTGAGGTTTTAATTCGGGTGTAGCATTATAGTTAAAATACAAGTAAAAAAGGATAGGGTAAATTACACAAAACTACCTCAATTATTGGTTGCACTACAATTTCATACCTCATGTTTTAAATATTGCAATGTCATACCTTAATTTATGAATTTGTTGCAATGTATACCTCTATTAATTAATATGTCAAATTGACTGTTAAATGATGATGTGACAAATGCAGAGCCCATATTTTGCTGACATGGCAGCCAACTTGTGCCAACTAATAAAAATATTTAATTATTAAAATTATTTTAATTCATTTAAAATATTATTTAAAAAAATCCAGAAAAAAAAAA